TGAATCACGTTTAACGAACTAGTAGTTAAAATTAGTTAAAAGTAATAAATGGGTTAGAAATATAATTTTTTTTCAAATTTGCCTTTATTTATTAAGAGAGTAAATGAGAGAGAAAATAAATAAAAAAAATGATGGAAGAGATTACATGGAGATAATATTAATAAGAGAGATGGAGTATTAAATACAATCAACTAAAGACAAAATAAGAAAAAAATAGTAAATTCTCAGACAAACTAAAAAACAAAGCTTATATTTTGGACCATATCTTTTTCTAAAAGTGAAGCTTATATATAGGATCTGAAGGGAGTATTGGAAGTAACTTATAAATAAGATTTATAATTAAATATTATTAAATACTAATATTTTAAAAATATAACACATGGTTATATATAATTGGAGAACTTGATGTAAGTATTGTTATTAATAAGTGTATTATTATAAAAAATTTTATGAAGCAAATTGGATTATAATGCATCCCAAAAACTTATCCTTTGACAAAACGCACATGAGCACCTAAAAATTTCTCCATATTACTTAGCAAGTCTTTATTATTGTTGAGATCATCTGGAGATATTATGAATTACGGTATCATGTAAAGTGAAGTTCTGCTATGTTAACTTCGTGAGGCCTTCTGAATTAAACATTATTATTTTTATAATTAAAATAAATTGTAATGGTTTCTTTTAATAATAACCAAATTCAGCTAAGTATTATTAAAATTTTAAGTCCAACATTCTAATTATTAAAATGTAAGTAAGAAAATTGCAAGTCACTCCAGTAGCTCCCCGTCATTTCCTAAGAACAGATTTATGCTCCCCTCCCCCCTCTCTCAGTTAAAAAGAAATTTAAAACTTAAATATTAAATTGAATAAATACCAATTAAAATCCAATTCAATTTAATTCAAATTAAAAAACTAATAATAAAAAATAACAAATTAATAAATACTAATAAAATAATAATTTTTAACTAAGAGTATTAAAATTTAAAAAATCATAAAAATTAAAAACTGAATATTTTTTATAAATAAGATATCAAAATGTCATTTATTTTATGTAAAATTTAATTAAAAAAAATAGAAGCTCAGAAAAATATCTGAGAAGAACCATAAAACTAAGGGGTGGATGGGGGCACAGCTGACAAGGGCAGCTTACACCCCATTGACTTTATTAAAATTCAGTTTATAATTTTTTTCATATTTAATAATTTAATTTTTATCATATACTATCTTTGATTCTTAATATAAGAGTTAGTTGAATAATTTGAATGGAGTAAGAAAATTTGTTAAGTTAGTTACTTGTAATAAATAGGTGTTATTTTTTTTTAAAAATACTCTTATTAATTATGTGTAATAACAAAAACTATTGATACGTACAACTACTACAAAGAATATATTGAAAGAAATAGATAAATATGAGACAAAGTAGATTGAGATTTTATATTTAGGACCAAACTAGTTCTTATATGAAGGACTGATAGTATAATTTATTTTGAATCAGTAATTAATTATCCTCTGTGTCAAAATATATTATTTAACACCATTAAAAAGTGTAATTATGGTTTCTGCTCCGGCAGCGCATCCCTCGGCTGTTTCTTCACCGAAGACGATGACGATCAACAATGGGATATGCCAAAGTGCTGATTATTTTCCCTAACTTCTAACTTCACTATCTCAACCCGCACATTCTGATGAGCCCACTGCCTCCACCATGGGCTAGCCTCCACAACCCGCTTGCTTCTGGTAAACTTTGATGTTCAGGGCCGATGAGATTCAAGGGGTTATATCACTTGTTCTGCCAGTACAACCCTGAATGTGCTGATTGACCTTGTGGGAAGATTGTGTGGGGCCATTCAGTATCAAAGTATCTCGTTGGTTGTAGCATACTAGACACCGCCATCTATCTATCTGAACCATTTGATATCAACGGTACCTGGTCGGGATCAGCCACGATTCTTCCAAGCGGCGAGCCTGCCATTTTATATACTGGAGTTGACCCGCACAATCAAGTCCAAAACTTGGCCTTCCCCAAAAATGGCTCAGATCCGTACCTTACGGAATGGTTTAAGATCCCTCAGAACCCCTTAATGGCTCCAACTAGGGCTAATGGAATCAATTCAAGCTCATTCAGGGACCCTACCACTGCATGGTTAGGCGAAGATGGGCACTATAGAGTCATAGTTGGGAATCAAAGGAACAATACAGGGGTGGCTTTATTATACAGAAGTATAGATTTTCTGCACTGGGTTAAGGCCAAACACCCTCTTTATTCTGCTAAAGGCACTGGAATGTGGGAGTGTCCTGATTTTTTTCCAGTGTTGTCCAACTCCACGTTTGGCGTTTATACTTCTGTTGATGGACCTTTTGTTAGGCATGTGCTTAAGGTCAGTTTGGACGATAATAAACATGATTACTATCTCATGGGGACTTATGATGCTAAGAAGGATAAGTTTGTCCCGGATACCGGATTCCAAAATGTTGATTCTGCCTTGAGATATGATCATGGAAAGTACTATGCCTCCAAGAACTTTTTTGGTGATTCAAACAAGCGAAGGATCTTGTTAGGCTGGGTCAACGAGTCCTCATAAAAAAAGATTGATTATGTCAAGGGAGGATGGTCAGGAATACATGTAAGTGGACGGTATATTATATTGCTTTGAAACAAATTCATTGATACTTCCAAAAATGTCATGAAGATGCAATCTAAAATCTATCTGTATGCTGTGTCAAATTGAACCTAGCAATTTACTAAAGAGAATATTTTGAATGAATTAACATGTGGTTTGTAGGCCATACCAAGGGCGATTTGGCTTCACAAGTCAGGGGATCAGCTGGTGCAATGGCCGGTGGTCGAAATTGAGAAGCTGCGAGATAAACCAATCAGCTGGCAACCAGGATGCTCAAAGCTTGTCAACACATCCAAGTCACTGGTGTCACAGCTGCACAAGTGAATCTTAGGAAACCTACTTTATGTTTTTTTCCAAATATATATTGCATATTATAGTAAATAATTTAAAATAATCAGTTTGAGATTACATGAACCCGGCCCATAAGTTACTTGTTAGGCACAATAAATATAATAATCTTTAAAAGAGTTTTACTCGTATAGAATACTGTGAAACTGTTATTATGAATAGCGTCTAAACCGTTAAAATTTAATTTGGATCGCTTAGTAGTGATTAAACATTTTATTAGTTTAATTTCCTGAAATTGGTGTGGCTGAACTGAGATAGTTTTAATCTCCTTGTCTATATGGGCAGGCTGACATTGAAGTGTCATTTGATGCAAATGAGTTTGGGAAGGCACAAGTGCTGGACCATTGGGTGAAGCCTCAGCTTCTTTGTAGCAGAAAGGGTGCAGCAGTAAAAGGTGGATTGGGACCTTTTGGCTTGCTTGTGTTTGGTTCAGAAGACTTGAAAGAATATACTGCTGTCTTCTTCAGAGTGTTCATATACCAACGCAAACCTTTGGTCCTCTTCTGTAGCGATCAGGGTTTGTGCTTATCCTCTTTACAACATCAATTTTGTTATTTTCTGATTCTTATCTGACATACAGATTCAAAACTTTGTTGACAGGTCTTCAATGAATTATATCGATCATGATCTCACCACTTACGGCACCTTTCTTGATCTTGACCCTTCTCATGAGAATCTCTCACTTAGAAGCATGGTAAGTTGCAATAGTAATAAAACCATATGCTCTTATAAACTTCATTCCTTGTTCCAATATGTTAAAAACACACTGGAAAATCCTTATATAATTTTGCTTGTCTCTTTTTCACAGATTGATCACTCAGTAGTGGAAAGTTTTGGGGGAGAAGGTAGAGCGGTCATTACAGCCAGAGTTTACCCCACAATGGCAATCAATGATAAGGCTCAACTTTATATGTTCAATTACGTTGTTGCTGATGTGAAGATCACCGGCTTGAGAGCTTGGAGCATGAAGAAAGCACAAATCAATTGAAACTGAGCTCAAAAAAGTGGGATACAATAATACTAGCTAGAATCATTACATGAACAATTCACACAACAGATTTTATAAATGTTCTTGTTGTTTGTACTTTCAAAAGTATAATAAACAAGTTATATTTTTCTCTCTGATTGCCATTTCTGATTTTCCAATTAGCTCTTCCATAATATTATATATAGAGATCATCCATTCCAAAATGTAAAGGCACTAATTTAATTGGACTATGCAAAAACAGTACTGTAATAAAAAACAAGGCCTTTTAGCATTGCCATTTAATTGGTGTCTATTATATGTTGTTGAATGGGTTGTCTGTGTTGATCTTTACGTTTCAAACGAATAATACCTATCTCTCAAGTTTGAAATAGTTAAATTGTTTGATGGGATGAAATAGTTAAATTTTCAAGAAAGGTTGCGTTAATGCAGTATGCACGAAATTTATATCCTGCCACCTTGCCAGTAGTCTTACTTTCACTTTTCTCGACAACAATTTAAGTTTGATATGGGTAAATTTTTGAGTGAACAACTTGAAATAATTCAATTCTCTTATATATAATTCTTTTAAACTCATAAAAATTCAGTTATTATTTTTTTTATTCGAAATAACACAAGTTCTTCACGACAAATTTCTGGAATACATTAGATTCATTGTTCGGTCTAGATTTTGGGTCCAGAGAAAAGTAGGAGAACCTTTGATGAACAGGATTCAAGTCTCATTTCGCATTCCTAATTTGTACCAACATAATTTATCATTTTTTCACTAGCTTATTCAAGAATTTATGTCTACAAGAAGATTGGATGAATATACACACTACTTCATTAGTATTTTCATGCAACAACAGTATTTTTCCAATTTTAATGGGGAAATACAGATATATTATTTTATTATATATATTAAATAAATGAATCTTTTGGGAAAGAATATAATTATTGAAATATATATTATATGATTTTACTTTTTCTCAATTGCTATAATTATGGTAAAGTACTTTTACCGAGAAAAACAAGAGGCAATAATGTGATCGGCCGTTTAAATTCTCATAGCAATAGCCTAACAATAGCAACAGCGACCGCCGCAAGATGGCGCATAGTGTTGTTTTCTTTTGTAAGCGGCACTACAAAAAACCAGACTTTACGCGACGACTTTCGATGGCGACAAAAAAAGTCGCCGCTGAAACTAAAACTTTTAGCAGCGACTGTTTTAGTCGACGCTGAAAGTTCGCTATTGAAACCAAGATTTTCAGTGGCGACAAAAGTGTTGCCGCTGAAAGTGGACCTTCAGCGGCGACTTTTTTTGTCGCCGCCGAAAGTGGACTTTGAGCAGCAACTTTTTTAGTTGCCGCTGAAAGTTTGCTATTCAAACCAAGACTTTCAGCGGCGACAAAAGTGTCACCACTGCAGGTGGACCTTCAGCGGCGACTTTTTTTGTCGCCGCCGAAAGTGGACTTTTAGCGGCGACTTATTTTGTCGCCACTGAAAGTATAATATAATAATATATATTTTATTTTATAGTATTAATAAACAAATTCAATCTGACTCAGCGGCAAGAAGATTGGACACGAAAGGAGGCGGTTATGAGTTTGAACCTGAAAGAAGACACATTTAAGGTGAAAATATTTGGACGATGATGTGGGGAGGAGGAGTGATGTGGCAATGACCGCGATGACGTGCTGCTGGAAAACTCTTCTTTACAATCTTTGGCTTCAATTCCAGTAGATACTACGCCTTCTTCAGCAAATTTTGGGTTTCCTATTTCCAAAGCTCTCTCAGTTCCCGGAACACACAACTCTATTACAGTTTTGTACGAGTCAGCACAATATTTCAGTGCCTTCTCCTGCTTCGGTTCTAAATGTCCACTTTTTAGGAGCTGCTTGATCCTATAACCCGTGCCCTTCGCTTTCGTCGTCATGACTTTCACCATAATTAGAGCTAGCCCTGTGAATATTCATGATTCGATGATTGATTCAATGATTAATGAAAAGAGATAAATAATAGGATAATTAACATGTCAGTGTACATTTGTGGTTTATTACCCCTGACATCAGCGTCGGAGCTAGCGGGATCCGATTTGAGAGATTGAACACAGAGATTGTAGCGTGGGGTCTGCTTGCAGGTAGTCTCTATCAGGTTATTGCAGCGGCTGGGTGATATTATGGGGATTGTGACGATAGTAAAGATTATTATTAGCGTACGAGATTTCATGTTGTTCATGATGATGGAAATGAAGATAGATATGGGGATGTACTGTACTGTATTTCGCAAAATTGAATGGTGCTTGGTCTGTTTCAGCTAGCGCTATATAACATGCAAACAGTTTTGGCACAATATATATATATATATATATATATATAACATGAAAACAATTAATACAATAATAATGGATTTGGATCTTTATTCAATTAATAACGAAAATATTTAGTTTTGAAATTTTAATGTTCTTAAATGTCATTAATTACCACCTCTTGTGAATCATTAATTGCCTTTTGTTTTTACTTTTTTAAAAAAATGATTTCAAAGTACTTCCTCCAGTTTGTAATATAAAAAGTCTTATGAAAAAAATTTTTGATCCAAAATATAAAAAATTGACAGGGTGATCAAATATAGTTTTTTTTACTTTTACCTCTTGCTATAAAGAGGAGAGAGTTTTTAATGTAGGAGAAAGATGGGAAAAGTTTTCAATCAAACTCTTTAATAAGGGTAAAATAGTTACCTTTTTCATTGGTTAAAAAAAATAGTTAACTTTTATCAATTTAAAACACATTTAATGACTTAAATAATATTTCTTAACTTGTGAGAAATTTTAATTAACCCCTTATATTATGGATAGGAGATAATCAGATAATACTCTGATTTTTATTATAAGGCACTTCTCTAATCACCTCACTAGAATTTATAAGAGGTGGTTAAATCATTAACTTCATCTGAAAATGAGATTAATTTTCATTTTTACCTATTTTTAAATAAAAAAATTTAAATTTTGTATTACATTATTCTCTCTCGTTGTTAATGATTCTAAATAAGGACAATATTAGAAAAACTTAATTCATATCTCATCCGATTTATAATAAGAATTATGCATTTCTTCTAGGATGCGAATTATAATATTGATAAGAATTGGAAGAAATAATACTCTCTCTCCTCATGGTTACGAGAGCCTGCTGGTCCTTCGCATTTCTTATTCGTTCAGTGTTCTTGTCTTTAATATGCATTCCTCTTGTTTTTTTTTTTTGTCCCCCCTTTTCGATTGCTCCACCTTTCCAGTGCAAAATGTCGGCCCCCACCACGAAAATCCAAACCTAATTAGTCTTATATATATATATATATATATATATATGTAAAGATATATTTATAAGGTTTCATGCAGGTCTCCCTTGCATTATTTAGGTAACATTTGAATGAAAACTAAATCATAATTTTAAAAATGATTTTATGGTATATGAAATAAATATGTGGGGGAATTTGTCTCGATTTATAAAAAAACACTTTTTAAGAACAATTTTGGAGTATTTTAAACACCCCCTTTGAGTCAAAAGTATTTTAAAAAAAGGGTCAAATGTATTTTATTTATGATTTTCTTGTGTTTTGTGCAATTTCACTTGCCATTAGACTCATTGTACGGTCTAGATTGCGAAGGAGACGTGATTGGGAGGGAGAACCTTTGTTGAACAGAATTCAAGTCTCATTCCATATATTACTCATTTCGGTTAAAAATATAAGATTAACTATGTTCTCCATCTCTGTAAATGAAACTAACTGTACTGTTCATTATATGAATTTGTTGATAAGGATCAACTCTGCAGAAAGCAAACCTAGCTAGTTAAGAAACCAAATAAAAGAATGATAAATAACATTACAGGATCAAAATACTAATTTAATCAAAAATTGGCATGCACATATTTTACTGTATTCTTTGTCCATTTTTCCTCCTTTAGTACTTGCCTGCCCCCGGATAATGCAATGATGTTCAGCAATTTTTGCTTTTCTTCGGACATGACTTCTTGGAAATAGCACCACACATTGTGTGTGTGTGTGTAGACACCAGGATCACAAATGTAAATAATTACACTCCACAAGAACACGCACAGATGTTGTGGTATATATATCCATACAAATTGTCCCATGCACGTTAGAGGTAGAAAAGTTGGCATTAATATTGTAACAACTTTAACATATGTTCAGGGCCGATGAGATTCAAGGGGCTGTATCACTTGTTCTGTCAGTACAACCCTGAATGTCCTGATTGGGTTTGGGGGAAGATAGTGTGGGGCCATTCAGTATCAAAGGACCTCGTTGATTGGACCATACTAGACACAGCCATCCATCCATCTGAGCCATTTGACATAAATGGTACCTGGTCAGGATTGGCCACGATCCAAGTGGCGAGCCTGCCATTTTATATACTGGAGTTGACTTACAAAATCGTCAAGTCCAAAACTTGGCCTTCCCCAAAAATGTCTGAAACCCATACCTTAAGGAATGGGTTAAGATCCCTCAAAACCCCTTAATGGCTCCAACTAGGGCTAATGGAATCAATTCAGGCTCATTCAGAGACCCCACCACTGCTTGGTTAGGCAAAGATGAGCACTATAGAGTCCTAGTTGGGAATCAAAGGAACACTACAGGGGTGGCTTTTATTATACAGAAGCAAAGATTTTGTGCATTGGGTTGAAGCCAAACACCCTCTTTATTCTGCTAAAGGCACTGGAATATGGGAGTGTCCTGATTTCTTCCCAGTTTTGTGTGAGTCCAAATATGGTGTTGATGCTTCTGTTAATGAAGCTTTTGTGAGGCATGTGCTTAAAGTTAGTTTGGACGATACAAAACATGATCACTATCTCATGGGGACTTTTGATGCCAAGAAGGATAAGTTTATCCCGGATACCGGATTCCAGACTGTTGATTCGATCTTGAGATATGATTACCGGAAATATTATGCCTCCAAGTCGTTTTTTGATAATGCAAAGAAGAGAAGGATCTTGTTAGGCTGGGTCAACGAATCCTCAAGCGATTTTGTTTATGTCAAGAGAGGATGGTCAGGAATACATGTAAGTGGACGCTATGTTTATATTGCCTCGAAACAAATTCTTTGATACTTTCATAAATGTCAAGTTGAAGACGCAATAATCTAGCACAAATATTTTGCCAAAGAAAATATTTTGAACTAACATTTGGTTTAATTTGTAGGCTATACCAAGGGTGATTTGGCTTCAAAAGTCAGGGAACCAGTTGGTGCAATGGTCGGTGGTCGAAATCGATAAGCTGCGAGGAAAACCAATCAGCTGGGCAACCAGGGTGCTCAAGGCTGGCCAACCCATTCAAGTCACTGGCGTCACAGCGGCACAAGTAAATCTTAACAACCCTCCTTTATGTTTATTATAATATATAATTTAGAATAATCAGTGTGAGATTACGTCAACACATACGCAGGCTGATGTTGAAGTTTCATTTGAATCAAATGAGTTTGGGAAGGCAGAAGTGTGGGACTCCTGGGTGAATCCTTAGCTTCTTTGTAGCAGTAAGGTTGCAGCAGTAAAAGGTGGTCTGGGACCTTTTGGCTTGCTTGCGTTTGCTTCCGAAGACTTGAAAGAATATACTGCCGTCTTCTTCAGAATCTTCATATACCAACACAAACCTTTGGTCCTCTTCTGCAGCGATCAAAGCAGGTTTGTGCTTATCCTCTTCACAAGCTTTTATCAATTTTCTTAGTTTCCGATTCCTATCTGACATACAGGTGCAAAACTTTGACAGGTCTTCGATGAATCATAAGTACCATGACCTCGCCAATTATGGGACCCTCCTTGATGTTCATCCTTCTTACGAGGATCTCTCACTTTAGAAGCCTGGTGAGTTGCAAATAAATGAATATGACATCCATAAACTTCATTCTTTGTTGGTTTAAAATCCTTATATAATGCATGTGATCGTCCATTTTTGACAGATTGATCACTCGGTGGTGGAGAGTTTTGGAGGAGAAGGTAATTAAGGCAGTGATCACAGCCAGAGTTTACCCCACATTGGCAATCAATGGCGAGGCTCAACTCTATGTCTTCAATTATGGTGCTGCTGACGTCAAGATGACCACATTGAATGCTTGGAGCATGAAGAAAGCACGCATCAAACGTAACTGAAACTGGGCACTATAAAAGTGGGATCAATATGACCAGGTTTTATTTGACGTAAATATGATTACTCTTGCATGAGTGTTTAGAATATTTAATGCTTTTCCAAGAAATGTTGTCCCTATTGCAATTTTCCAACAAGTGTATATATAGAGAGAGGTGTTTTTTTTTTTAAATTGACGGTATTAATTACAAATTAGGAGTGAAAATAAAAAAAAAATCAATTTTAAGACCACTTTAATGGTATGGCTAATCGTTCTTAATGTTGGTGCTGAAATAATTAAAAGTGATATACTCATCTGATCCCATTTATAAGACACTTATAACATGTTTCACATAGACTAAAAAAAACCTTAAACTTCATTAACTCTCATTTAAAATTTAATAACTTTTTAATTTTATCCCTATTTAATATATATTATATCTCGCATAAATAAAGTCAACACAATAATAAATGAGGGGTAAAATTGTATATTTATATAAAAAATTTCTCTTGGTACCCTATAGACAGAACAAAAAATGTATTCTCTCTCTGCCCTATAAATATGACCAGTGAAGTATATTTAGAATCAGAAGAAACATTAACCCTAGTGTTGAGGGTTTTGTGAAGTTGAGGGGTTCTGGGGTTTTATCAAGGGGTTTGAATTTCTTGGTATTTTGTTTAACAAAATGTTGCTGTTGCAATTCGAATTTCTGGTTCATCCAGATACGAAGCAGATAAATATTTTTCCTTTAAATTTTATTACTATATACACAAGATATTTATGTATATGTGAAGATAAAGTTTTCATTGTGAAAGTAGGGTCTCAAGGCTTCAAAAGAAATAATAAAAGTAGGTTCTCATTTTTCTTTTGCTAAGCACATCTATCTCTGTTAGAGGTAGTCATGTAGAAGCTACTATCAGATGATAAATATAAATATTTCTTTCAATAAAAATTTAAATGTTAATTCATCATATTTTGTGGCTCTGCTAAATCCAATCTCCTTTGGTAAGGGAGTCTAAATTTTGGACCACCTCGTAACCACGTAGAAGTCACTGGGTGTCGTTGGAAACAACAAAATAAGAAGAAGTCATTGGGCCTT